CTTGGTGTCGGTGTGCATGTTGACTTTTGCCGCTGCCACTTCTGAGGTCGTCGCATGTGTGTGTGTGTGTATGTGTGTGTACACATGTGCCAGGTTGGTTGTGCCATTGACTAAACCCTTTTCACGGCACCACTTCATCCGTTGCCTAGCTCCGCAGCATGTGGACACGATCACAACAGTGTACACACCAACTTGCTCACAATGCATGTGTGCAAAATGAATGCAACAAATCACACAACCAACTAAATGCATACCATGAAGGCCTCGACTCTGACGGACGAACAAACGGACGGACGGACGGACGGACGGACGGACGGACGGACGGACTGGAGCTTCGACGAGGGCAAAAGCAGTCGATCGATTGTTGAATTGGCATAAAAATATCACGCCGTGTTCAGGTCGTTCTGACCGCCTCAGCCAAGCCCACACTGGTTGGGATGAAAGAGGTGGATGGTTGGCTGGCTGAGTGCTGATTGGCTCGTCGAAATTGGCCAATCAGGGCCCTGCTGGCACGCCGATGTTCCCACTTCCCAGTGGGGCAGACAGCATGGCGAGCCTTTTCAGACGAGGTTTTCAGACCCTCGAACACCCGTCGCTAGGCCCTCAGACTCACGCATCCTTGATACATTAGCCGGCTGGCGAGCTTTTGCCCGGTTTTTGCCCGGTTTTTACGTGGACTCGAGACATTCAGCCTTTGGTGATTTTGCACGGTTAGGCTCATCGTGGCGGCCGAGCTCGCGTCCATTGCTGCCAGCCTCTTTCACCAACCGACTCGCAGTTGTCAGCTTCACGGTGTCAGGATAGACTCGAATACACAGCCACACAGCCACACAGTGATACAATCACACACACACACACACACACACACAAGTTGCCATCCTGCCTAGTGGGCACACTCACTCTGTCGCGATGGTATTCTGTATAGTCCGGCCTTACACACAAACACAAACACACACACACACACATACACAGAGAGAGACAGTGATAGAGATTAGCTCAAACCACGTCTCGGGGGCACACTAAGCCGGGCCATATGTGCAGGCATTAGCGCCGTGGGTCTGAGAGTGGCACCATGACGAGGAGCACGATCACCCCTCAGACACACCGTCTTCATAAAGTCGACTGTCAGATCCATCCATCCACCCGCCAGACAGTCGACTTGCCGGTTCGCCCATCTGCTCATCACTCTCTCGACGTCAAGACAAACATGAGATAGTTCTGAAGACAGCCCAACCCTCGCCTCCGCCCCACTTATCCGTTGTGCATCCCCTCCCCCACCCCACAGGTTTACGTTCGACAAATCTGAGCGATGACCAAGTTTTGGGACGCATCACAACAGTGATCAATGGTTAGTGTACTCCGTCGTGATGATAAA